GAATGAAGGAATGACTGAATGAATGAATGAATGAACGAATGAATGAATGAATGAATCAATCAATCAATCAATCAATCAATCAATCAATCAATCAATCAATCAATCAATCAATCAATCAATCAATCAATCAATCAATCAATCAATCAATCAATCAATCAATCAATCAATCAATCAATCAATCAATCAATCAATCAATCAATCAATCAATCAATCAATCAATCAATCAATCAATCAATCAATCAATCAATCAATCAATCAATCAATCAATACTTACTAAAAGTGCATACATATTATATTACAATAAAATGATATAAAAACGATATAAAAATAATGCTTAAATAAACTTTCAATTATTTTATTTCTGCTAGCTGCCATTGCAATATTTCATTTTTTTTTGTTTAACTTAGAGTACTAAAATAACTAAAACTAAATATAAATAATATAAAAAATGGCATAAATTTCCATTCAAATAAAATATTATAAATAATTATAAATATATTCAAAATATTCGAAATATTTTAAAAATGTCTAAATATAAAAAATATAAATTACACACAAAAATAAAACCTTAAAATGAAAACGAAAAATATGAAAATAAAAACAAAAAATTTAAAATAATAATAATAAAATTTATAAAAGTATATCTGTCATGCATTCTGTTTTCCTTGTGCTTTTGTTTTGCTGTGTGGACATTTAGTTTGTAGTTTTGTCTAGTTCCTGTCTTCTTATTGTCCCATGATTGATCTCATATATACAGCATTTTGTTAATCTTGTTAACCCTTTGTATATAAATCCTTGTGTTTCCTGTGTTTGCGGTCGGGTCTTGTTCTATTTGTTTGGGTTGCCCTTTTTTGTTCACTTTATTGTACTTTTGTTATTATTTATAATAAATTCACAACATTTGGATTCTGCCCTCTGTTCACCGTAATGTGACAATATCAATGATGCTAAAATAACACTGATATGGGGTCCAAAATTCAATGTTTCGGAATCCCATTGACTTTCATCGTATGGACAAAAACTTTTTTATTTTATTTTTGTGAAGGAAGAAATAAAGTCATACAGGATTGGGAAGTCGCGGGAACAAAATTGTCATTTTGGGGGAAACTATCCCTTTAAAGATATTTGGTAGTATCAGATTTACTTGCAGCTGATATGGAGTATTTTGGATGAGATTTAGATGCTCAGTTCCAAGCCCACATCCGAAATGTAAAGCCTTAATACCAGTAAATCAGGAGAATTAGTCTGCCCCACAAAAAAACTAAATGTATTGCAAAGTTACAGCCCAAGCACATCAGTTCTGAGCGCAGTAGCTTTGAGAGGCTAGTCTGCAAAAAGTCTCTAAAGTCCCGGGTTCCGCTCAGCAGGCCGGGGTAGCGGCCACTGTAAGCCTCCGCCGAGGGATTTAAACAGCCATTTCATTTGGAGCTCCAGCCACCGCCTGGCCACGCACCGCACATTGTGTGCAGAACATTTAATTCCGAATGGAGAGAGCATGTCGCAGAGCAGCGGAGATTCACACGGCACTCTTTATCTGAGAGAAACACACAGAGAGGAGCCGCGAGTCAGTCCAATTACTGCCATTATCTTGCGGAGAGAGGGAGAGCGAGTTCCCCGCTAAGCATTTTCCCATTCTAGCCTTTCCATTTTCATTAGCCTCTCTCTCTTCACCTTCGCTCTGTACATCTGGAATCGTGTAATCCTTGATACTATTCAAGCCAGCTGGCTCGCTGTCCTGCAATGAAAATCTCTGAATGTCGTATTGTCACTTTCAGGGAAAAAATACCATTGTTTGCGTCACCTTTTGTATCCAACATGAACAAAAACAGAGGAAATAGAATGGAAATTGTGGCACGGCAGTCAACGCATGACCTTGATGCTCATATGGGCTAAGCACACCTTCGCTCTGTACATCTGGAATCGTGTAATCCTTGATACTATTCAAGCCAGCTGGCTCGCTGTCCTGCAATGA